CTTTGACAGCTTATGCTTTGACAGCTTGTGCTTTGACAGCTTTGTGTACTTGGTTTGATATTTTTGCAACTTAGTTTGCTTTTTGAAACTCAGTTTGCTTTTGGTTGACTAATGCAATTTGTTGTTCAGTTTGCTATTGTGTGCAGCCTTGTGCCTTCTTTGTGTGCAGCCTTGTGCCTTGTATCTTTGTATTTAATTGATTGTATGCTTGCAAAATTATTTTTTACTTTCCCCTTTGTGAACCAAGAAGAGGAATCTTCTTGTGATTTGCAAAGAGGACAAGTAAAACATGATGAATCCAAAAACAATATGATTCCGACCAACAAGCTTTAATGATGACTTTATATTTATCTGCTTGAAAATGCTTTTCAATTTATCTGCACTGATTTCTTTTTCTTCTGTCCTTTGCAGGTAATTATCAGTTGAATAATGGAAGAAGCAATAGAAGATAGAAGATTTCAAGAAACTTAGGCTTTAGATTTATTTTCTTTTCATTTATTGTAATAAATATTATTGTAAACACTGTAAATAAATTTACAATATTCAAATAACATTTGTAACAATATTTGAAATAAATAAAAAGTCTTTGTCAAATAAGAATTCTTTACTGTCAAATATTTCCTTCTTTCCTTTGCATTGTCTATTTAATTATTTAAATCTCTTAAATTAAAACAACTGGAAATGCATCCCAATAATTTTAACTCAGATAAAATAAATAATCAATAAACTTTGCAGTCTCGCAACCTTGCATTAACCACAATACGCCCGACATTCCAATTAATCATATGCTTTGTACAGTTAAACAAACAAGCATTCCATACACTTCTCACTTCACTGATCAAACCAATTCCTCAAAGTTTCAATCAAAGCCTCAGCTCATATCCCAGATATTTAGGTTTTGAGAAGCAACCGGTAATCTGGAACAAGCGTAAAAATAATGTAACAGTCAATTGAATTATTGTGGATTCAATTTCTTCTGAGAAATATGAGTGAAAACCCTAATTCCAGATTTGTCGTCAAAGAAAAGTCTGCTTGATCAATTCCTGAGCCAATCTCAATAAAATCAATGGAAACCCTAATTCTGGACTGACTGATAAAGAAAAGTCTATTTGACCGATTCTTGAGTCAATCTTGAAAGATCAGGGAAAACCCTGAAGTTGTGATTTCTTATGAAAAAAGGAGGGCAAATTTTGGGGTACAACAGTAGGGTTGCTGGATAATTTGCATTCCCATAACTTGTCATTGTGAATTCTTCAATCGGTCTTGATTGACACTTCCCTTGAATCGAAACAAATCTCTTGATACCAGATGTTGGAAATCCACCAAATTCTATGATGAATTTCTACCACAATGACAATTTAATTATGAGACAAACAAAGAAAAGAAGACAAGACAAATAATTTCTGCAGAGTTTCTCTCTGCTCACAAACTGTGAAAACTTTCTTATTCACTTTGCAACTGCAAAATACTATGAATGACTTGCTTTCAAAAATAGGGATTACTCCCTCTATTTATAATCGAGCTTACACCCTAAGCCCAAAGCCCAAAATATATTTTTGTTACTAAATCAAATCTAATATATTCTAGACTTAAATCAAATCTATTTAAATCTAAAACAAATCAAATCTTTTTGACACATAGTTTCGACACATTGGATTACAATTTAACAAGTACCACACAAAATTAATGTATCAAATTAATATGGGATAAATAAAACAAAATAATAAGCCTGTTCAAGTGGGAGAAAATAAAAATAAAAAATTTTCAAAAAAAAAAATTAAAAAAATTAATTAATTTTTGTAAAAATTTAAAAAAATATAAAAAAAATCGAATCTCCACGTGGAATTAAAAAAAATTAAAAGATAAATTAAAAAAGTCACGTCAAGTGTCACGTATGCAGATTCTACTAGAATCTTGACCCAAGGTCAAATTTGAGGGAATCTTGTTTTGTTGAGGGGCTAAAAGAATTTTTTTTTAAATGGGTAAATCAAAACTCGCTACTATTACAGGAGGATAAATATATTTAAATTTAATAAAAATGATAAATAAATATGGACTGAATAAATGTTATGTGTTATTAGACTATGCTGAATACGCTGGACCGAATCTGACTTTCCTCCATTAGGCCCATGCGTTTTTTTAGTAAATTGAATTAAACAAATTTTTTGGATTGGACTGATGTGTTGTTGAGATGGGCCTCCAAATTGCACCCCTCCAAGCCTATTACCGTCATTTTCTTTAGCCTTATCACCTTAACAAAAACCTGCTTGTTTGATCATTGTTGTTTGGGCCTAGTACCTTTGTTGATTACACCATCCATATCATGGCTTGCACCCTTGTGCCTTCTTTTTCTATTTTCTTTTAGGATTGTTTCAATTTAGTTTTATTTTTAGTGCGATTAATTTTGGTTATTTTATTCACATGATAAAATCATAAAAATTGTAGAATTTAATTCCTTTTATTTTCTTGATAATTGTTTGCTTGTGATCTTACCATGCTCCCTTAGGACTTTCTAATTCATTTTTATTTCTTGATAAAATTGAATTAAAATAAACTTTAGGTTTTTAATCCAAGTATGATAACAATTAGGTAGAATTTCCTTTATCCTAACTTTAGGGCCACCATTGTACATGACAACATTAGGACTTGAGTTTTCCCCTTTATATTTTACTTCCTTAAAACTAAAACTTCTTTTTCTTAATCAAATGTCAAAGCACGTAACAAAAATGATGCGAACCATGTGTCACGAGACTTAAGTATTGAGAGGAGTATGAGGTGGTGCATTCTTAACCTTGTGATTCCTCTCAATCATAGTCTTTAATGTGGTTCAAATCACCAAATCATTTTTCAACGTAAAAAATACAAACCAATCAAATCTCTTTTTCCTTCGGGTTTTTCTTTTGAAAATCTTTTCATAAAAAGGACGTGTTATTTCCATTCTACGCAATATGACGTGTGAGTCCTCAAAGGCCGGGCAACAGTATGTCAACTGCAAGAATGTGAATGTAACATTATTCGACTAAAAACACAAACAGAGCAATTCTTTTTGAGAAAAACTACGATGCTCTGATTCTCTATTTCACAACAGGGATACGTAGGCACGGGGTTTCGAAACCGAGGCGAGCGCAATAATAAAAATTTTCTTTTTGTTTGTTAACAATTCATTTTCATGCATTCCCTTAAGCTTTCGGCATGACACACCCTTTGATTAGAACAACAAGAGTGGATCCCGTTGAGTACGACAGACGTGAGGGGTGTTAATACCTCTCCCTTGCGTAATTGACTCCCGTACCCGTTCTATTGGTCGCAAGACCTTGATTTCTCTTTTCTCGGGTTTACTCGATGTTTTCCTTTCCCTTCTTTGGGATAAATAACATTCGATGGCGTCTTCATTTTTCATTATTTTTTCTAGTTGCTTCAGCTCTTACACATCTCTAGGTGCGATGGAGAACTCAAGGCTACATAGTTCTCAGTAGAAAATATTTATTGGTTGATCTATTTTAGCGAAAGGTACTTGGTCGCATTCGAACGAAAAATATTGTTTGCTACCCAAAACATGAAGGAGTGAACATTTGCATCACATCAAGAATGCACAACATCTGGGTTCTCACATATGTATGTTCTCGTCACATTTGAGCAGAAAATGTTACTCATTACTCGCATGTGGTAGGAACTAAGCGTTGTTTCCATCAAATGGACGAAGAGTCTTTCGTTTATAAAAAAAGATTTAACGTCACGTAAAGGCAGAAAAGATAGTTTGATGAGTTGAGTTGTTTTTAGGCGGGAGGCGAGTATTCGAAAGACAAACTATACAATAGGTATACAAATACTCGAAAAAATAAGGGCATACGCATAAGTAGTCATTTTCATCCCTTTTATTGCAAAAAAGTGTTTGATGAGAATCGAATTAACTTATATGGATGAAGGTGAGCATTCGAATGACAAGTTATACAGCTAGCGTCCTAGGACTTGGAACAAAGAGACATACGTCTAATCATTTCTTCTTCACCAATTAGGGCTCATGGAATTCGACTACGTTTATTATGAAAAGATTTTCGAAAGAACTTGGTGTTGACCAAGTGTTTTATTTGTGTTTACATGGAAAATAAACTTGATGTTGACCAAGGGTTTTATTCTCATTGAATTAAAAATGATTTGAATTGAGTTCGAAAAATGACTTGATGTGAAGTTATTTATTTTATGTACAGAGTGAATGTTTTTTATTTTGAAAATGGTTAGATGTTGACCAAGCTTTTTATTCTAAAAAAGATTGATTTTAATTGTCGCATTATTTAATTAAGCAAGTTACTCGATTAACTAAAAAGACAATCAAAACAAAATAAAGTATAATCAAAGGATGACGATACATTTTCAACGTGGAGATAAAGAGAATATATTAAAAGGTGTTGGACTTAAGATCCTACGAAAATAACAAGAGGAACAATGACTAGCTAGCGCGAAGCGCGATCATCACAATCAACTTGAAATATGAACAAGACATAATGCAATATATCGCATCGTAACGAAGAGTGATGTTACATAACAAAAAAACAAAGTAACTAAAGAAAACACAAATTACTGCCATGGCGAGTTACTAAAAATATGCCAAGCCAAATTTGAATGTGACAAAATCAAAATGTTGCACGCAATGGCAGTTTGGACGATAAGTTGCTAGCACAAAGATGTGATCTTCACAATCAAATCGACATATGTAACATAAACTCAATAATAAAGAAGCGATAATGAAGTGTAATATGCCAACAACATAAAGTAACAATAGCATAATATAGCGATAAAATTAAGTTACCTTAGTGCAAAGAAATGTGACGCGAGGCCTCTATCATGAAATTTGAAATTGAATAAAACGTAACGACAACGAAAGCAACATGACATGAACGTATATAATTTTCTTAATAAGATGAATGAAGTGGAACTATTCCATTATCAGTATATTGAATAAACTGCTGCAATAATTAGGGTTATTCATATTCACTAACTAATTAAGATTTGAATTGCCGCAATAAACCATGAAAAATACTTTTTCTTTTCTGCTGTTGATTTTCTTCCGACTTCATACCTGCTGTAAGCTTCTCATCTAGTCTCCGTTTGGCTTCTCTTGTTGATCCTCCCAGTTTCTCATCAATCAATGACTGTTTCTGCTTTAACATGCTTCTTTCCTGTTAACAATGAATCAAACCCTATTAATATACTACATGAATGATGGAATGGAAATGAAATATAAATAATAAAGAACACCAACCAGTAAAGAGAGTATTGAAGGAGAAGGAGTAGATTGAACGTTTCTGGTATATAAACAGAATGAACGTGTTGTCGTGGGATCACCACGTCCTCCTTCTCTTACTCTGCTTTGATGCAACCGTCTCTTTCTAGCACATTCAACTCCTGGAAGCATTTTTTTAGTTCAGTTCAGCACCAAACACTGTCTTAATGAAAATGGATTATAGATTTCTTAGAAGTATAGTATAGATGAATAATGAATAGGTTAGGTGGAATATTTTTGGATGGGCGAGAGGGTAGTAAAGTTGGGGGCGACATCCTCGAAGTTTCGTTCCACGAGTCAAACAATTAAGATACAGCAAAAAAGTTTGATCCACGCCTTATGGGCTGTATAGATACTTTGAAAAAAATAGATAAAGTGATAATGGTCTCTCATACATTTTTTATTTTACTTTAATTTATTAGAGTAGAAAACAAAATAAAGGAAAAATGACAAAAAAAAAACTAAAATTTTAAAAGTAAAGTTTAGCGTCTGTGATAAGGATGTTGCTCAATTTTAGAGAAGGATAGACATGGATTAGAAGATCAACATTAATAGATGTATTGAGTTTAATAGTGAAATTAACATTAATAGATGTATTGAGTTTAATAGTGAAATTGCCACTTCCACTTCTTTTGCAGAAATCGTGAATAACTCTATACTATTTTTATTGGATTCAATCTATATTTTAAAAATATCTTTCGGATATTAATCTATATTTTAAGAATATTTTTTTAGAAAATATTATTATATCTTTTTATATCTTTGTTAGAAGATATTTAATATTTTATTTTGTGTATAAATAGCCTAGTGAGGTAGTTCAATGTAATTCATTGTAAATTATTATTCCTTATTTTTGCAGCCGTTATTTAATATATTTCTTTTGTCTTTCATCTTTTCTTTGTGCACCAATAATTGGTATCTAGAGCTTCGGTTCAAAATACACGGGAAAAAGGAAAACACAAGAGAATAATGAGGTGTTGTGTGATAATCGTTGTTTCTTATTCTGGGGATTTGGGAAACACTGCTTTATTGAGTTTCTGCGTAAATTGCACAAGGTAGAAGATGAACGGAAACATCGATGATGTCCATTCTAAGCTTTCAGTATTTGATGGCAAAAACTGAAATCGTTGGAAGATCCAGATGCGCGTGTTGTTTGGTTCTCAAGATGTGTTAGATCTTGACACTGATGGCTATGATCTGGTAGAAGCAGACACAACAGAGGCACAAAAGATAACACATAGGATACTAAGGAAGAAAGAATGTGTTTGAGAAGATTGTTGATTCTGAAACATCAAAGATTGTGTGGGACACACTGGTCAGATGTTACGGTGGTGACGCATCAATGAAGAAGGTGAAGCTTCAGTCTCTCAGAAAGCAATATGAGAATCTCAACACGAAGGACAACGAGAAGGTTTCTGAGTACATCTCTAGAGTGATTCTGATCACTAATGAGATGAAAGTTTGTGGAGAAACTCTTTATGAACAAGTAATTATTGAGAAGATCTTGAGATCTTTAACTTCTCGGTTTGATTATATTGTTGTAGCAATTGAGCATTCCAAAGATCTGAGCATCATGAGAGTTGAAGAGCTGCAAAGTAGTCTAGAGGCGCATGAGTTGCGTATGACTCCGAGAACTTCTAAGAGGGAAGTAGAGCAGCAAGCTCTGAAAGTAACTTCTGGTAAGAAGTATCAGAAGCAGACTTGGTCAGAAGCCAAGAAGAAAACTAAGAGTGGTCAAAGGTCAGAAGCTTCAAACTCTGATAGGCAGAAGAATGTCCAGAAGGGAAAGAAGAAGTCTAACAAGAAGAATGTTCAGTGTTACTGTTGCAAGAACTTTGGTCACTATGCCAAAGATTGTTGGTCAAATAAAGAAAGGAAGTCAGAAGAAGCAAATATAGCCAGAGGAGAGTCAGATGATGAACTTGTGCTATTGTTGGTTTTTGAACCTGATGATCTAAATTCGTCAGAATTGTGGTATATGGACACAAGGTGTTTAAACCATCTTACTGGAAACAAGAAATGGTTGGTTGATTTTGATTCTGGAAAGAGTACAAAGATCAGATGTGTTGATGATAAATACCTCAATGTAGAAGGAACGGGAAATGTCTGAATCATTCTAAATAATGGGAAAGCAGCAGTGATCTAGAATGTGTGGTATGTACCTGGCATGAAAAGCAATCTGATGAGTATGGGACAACTGATTGAGAAAGGTTTTTCAGTTACCATGAAGGACAATCTTCTGAAGCTGTATGAATGTAATCAGAAGATGATTATGGAGTCAAAACAGGGAAGGAACAGAACATTCAAGGTGAGTATTAGAACTGCAGACTCTGAATGTCTTAGTGCAACAAGTGTTGTCAAGGAGAGTGAGTTGTGGCATAGAAGATTTGGTCATCTGAATTTCAGAAGTTTAGGGCATCTGAAATCAAAGAATTTAGTACATAGAATTCCTACAATCAAGAAGCCTGAAAAGTCATGCAAGGTGTGCATGAAAGGGAAGCAACCAAGATTACCATTTGCATCAGAAGTAGCTCCAAGAGCAAAACATGCCTTGGGAGTAGTACATTCTGATGTGTTCGGTCCTTTTCCAGTAGCATCAACTGAAGGGAATAAATATTTTGTGTCATCTGTTGATGAGTTCACCAGAATGACATGGGTATCTCTCATAAAGTTCAAACATGAGGTGTTTATTGAATTCAAGAAGTTCAGACTGAAGGCTGAGAATCAGAGTGGCCAGACTCTGAAGATTCTTAGAACTAATGGTGGTGGTGAGTATAACTCCACATAATTTAGAAGTTTTTGTGAGGAGAATGGAATTGAGCATGAGGTTACTGCTCCTTATACTCCTCAACACAATGGTCTTGCTAAAATAAGAAACCTTACTTTGCTTGATATGGTGAGAAACATGCTGAAAGAGAAGAAGCTTCCTCATACTCTGTAGGGAGAAGCTGTTGCAACTGCATGTTATGTGCTCAACAGATGTCCAACGAAGAAATTAAAGGAAATAGTTCCTATTCAGAAGTGGACTGGAGATAAGCAAAGTGTTAGTCATCTGAAGGTGTTTGGTTCTGTATGTTACAAACATGTCCCAGAAGCCAGAAGACAGAAGTAAAGTGATGTTGCTGGTGGGGTACCACAGTACAGGTTTGTACAAACTTTATTGTCTAGAAACTAACAAAGTTGAGTTCAGCAGAGACGTCATTATAAAGGAATCAAAAGTTTGGAATTGGGAAAGGTCTCGTCCTGACTATGATGAGAGAACTCTTGGAGAAAATCCAGAAACACATGTTTCTGAAGATGGTAAAGACTCTGACTCTGAAGAAGATACAAAAGGAGAAGATGATTCTGACTCTGACTCCGATGGTGATCCAGACTCTGAAGACAGTCAAGGTTCTGGAGAAAGTCCAATTTCTGAAGCAAGTGCTTCTGAAGGGGAAATTTCTGGTGTCCATAGTTCTGAAGGTCCAGTTCATACGCAACAAAGAGTTAGAAGCATCCCAAGAAGATTTGCAGAGTTTGACATGTTGCAAGACACTGAAGTAGACTCTGAAGGAGAAGTTATTTAGTGTGCAATGTTAGTAGACTCTGAACCCGTAAGTACGGAAGAGGCTCTTAAGCATCAAGTTTGGTTACAGGCCATGAAATAAGAACTTGATGCTATAGAGAGAAACAAGACTTGGAAGCTGACATAACTTCCAAAAGGCAAGAAAGATATCAGCGTTTTGAGTTTTCAAGCAGAAGTTAAAGCCATATGGATCAATTGGCAAACACAAAGCAATATTAGTAGCAAGAGGCTTTCTACAGAAGCCTGGGCTGGATTACTTTGAAGTGTTTGCACCTGTAGCGAGACATGAAACAATCAGACTAGTGATTGCAATAGCTGCTAACAGGAATTGGCCTCTGATGCATTTAGATGTAAAATTTACATTTCTGAATGGTCCATTACAAGAAGAGGTATACGTATCACAACCTCCTGGATTTGAGAAAAAGAATCAGAAAGGGATGGTGTTCAAATTACATAAAGCCTTGTATGGATTAAAGCAAGCACCCAGAGCTTGGAATTTGAAGATTGATTCGTTTTTCAAGGAACAAGGGTTTCAGAAGTGTGATTTGGAGTATATTGTTTATGTTCAGCACACTTCAGAAGGTAATATGATTCTGGTCTGTTTGTATGTTGATGACATATTACTCACAGGAAGTTCTGAACAAGAGATAGTTGAGTTCAAGAAAGTTTTTATGAATGTGTTCGAGATGACAGATCTTGGGAAAATGAGTTTCTTTCTAGGGATGGAATTTATGTACTCTGAGAAAGGAATCATTTTGCATCATATGAAGTATGAACTAGAGCTTTTGTAGATATTTGAGCTAGAGAATTGCAAAGTTGCTATCACACCTACTGATACGAATCAAAAGTTGGACTCTTATTCTGATGGAGAGGATGTGGATGCTACAACCTTCAAATAGTTGATTGGTTCTCTAAGGTATTTGTGTAATATCAAACCTGATATTTGCTATGCAGTTGGAAGGGTCAACAAATTTATGAGTAAACCAAAATGGTCTCATTACCAAGCTGCTGTCCGGATTCTGAGGTATGTGAAGGGAACTATGAAGTATGGAGTGTTATTTTTGTTTGGAAGAAAGATTGAATCAGAACTTCTGAGTTATTCAAACTCCGATTGGTATGGAGATAGAGTTGACAGAAGAAGTACATGTGGGTATGTAATACGGTGGGAGAACTGACTTGGGATGTTTTGCGTTTGATCACAATTGTTACGGATAGCAAGAGTCGCCACCGGCTTTTCTTTTATCCAATGAGGAAAGGTTGAAAAGAATAGGAAAGACCTTTGAGATTATTTTCTTGAGTTTGGGGGGTAGATTATGAAAAGGGAAGGTATTAGCACCCTTTTCATCCATAGTTATCTATGGGCTCTTAGTTGCTTGCTAGATCACTTGCTTTTGTTTGAAAGTGTGCTTTGTGGTGATTTTTTAAAGTATTTTTGAAAAGCGCCTTCATTTAGGCAAACTTTGTAATGATTCTTGTCTCTATAAGAATGTATACAAAGTGTTTTGAACTTTTGAAAATATTACAATGGAAAGTGTTGGTGCATTTGAAAAGGTGTTTGTGTTTTGAA